TACCAGTACCCCAGGGAGCATGAAGTGTATATAAGATAGCATTACGGCTGTTCGTTCCGTCTTCTACTTCAATACTGTAAATTTGAGTGTTGATTATTTCTCATCGGCCCTGTTTTATAGACAACCAAGCTGTTATTGAGTACTCCAAATAATTGAGCATAAATAACCGTATATTACAGTACTGTCACTAAATCCCCATCTTTCTCGTCCGACGAGTCCACGAAAGCGACACCTACCTTCCTATATTGACCTGCTTCTGGGGTAGGCTCACCGAGTAACGCCCATTCATTATGTCCCGGACAGGTCCAGATAAGATGGCACTTGCTCAACCTATCGATTTGAGTTCCCCAGGGGAACCAGGTAAGATATGCTCGGTTATCCTCCGTGATCACAAGCCAACGGTCCCACCCGTTGAATACTTCACGGAGTCCGGTGCTAAATGCATTCCCATCACGGAGTTGCATGAAGCATAAATACTCTAGCACTTGACGAGTGTTTCCATTTCCAAGGGCTGCCCTAGCTGAGGCGAAATATTTGTCCTCTGCTCCCCCTTGCACGCGATGGCGGAGTGTATATTCCGCCGCACGCAAGAGTAGAATGACAATTGCCGAGATGTCGTATTCTTTCTGAAGCTGGATGATTAGTTTCAACAGTCGCATAACCTCGCCACTACCATCGCCAAATGACCGGCCAAATTTAATTTGAGCGATTTTCTTGATGGCTGATGCCTTTAGACGCAGTGAACCTTTCGTGGGACCATCATCAAGCACCAGTTCGGCTGGCGAACGGAGAGAGGCGTGAGCGACATTTGGATCCAGTGATGGTTGGGTTTCCCGACTTACCCGTGCTATTTGTGTAACGCCCATATTCTATCCGAAACTCTCCTACGGGCCGGCCTACCACACTAATTCCCCAATCGTCGTTCATGGATTCCGTAACGTTCTTCCACTTAAGCCATGGAGCTGGATTCCACGTCCCGTTTTCAGGATGCGTAATTGAATCTGGCAGCCAGGGTGCGCAGTCCCACGTTCGACTAGGAAACTGCGTGACCCTCATGGAAAGCAAAGGGGTGCAATCCGGTATCTTCCGGTTGATGTACTTGTTTACAGTCATTTGCCATGTGACATGGAATATTTTTTCGTGATAATCCTGTGTGCTGAGAGCGATATCTTTGCTTGCCTCTTTCTCGGCCCTGAGAGGATCGATGTGCCAAATTTCATTAAGAATCGCGTAGGCACCTCGGAGCCGATCAACCGCTCTGGAGCATCTTCGGACACGGTTGATATTCAAGATAGATAGTGGATGTATAGCAACCTTCTTGTAACTTAAAGCTTCTTTGAGAGTTTCGATCGGGCTCCAGCCACGGTCAATGCGGTCAATGACCATTCCTTGACCAGGATGGACCCAATCATATTTAGGATAGCCATCCAGGTTTCCCGTGGAGAGCTCGGCGACAGTCGGGTATTTATGATTTGAGGCTGTGTGGTAGTTCCTTGGTCCTAACACCTCGATTTAGAACGCGTATGGGCATC